TTCTATTTGTGCTTTGTTTATATTTTCTGTGCTGCTGCAAATCACCCCGAGGGTTCAGTGAGCTGAATATTGGGATAAAAAAGTGAATAAATTAAAGACTAACAAGCAGGTTTCATACATAAGCTAAATATACAGTGATAATGATCTGGATATAGCATAAAAGCCAATGGTTTGTGCTTATTCGAACGACAAATTAGCCTAGTAAAATTGAATGTTCTTTGAAGCAACTAAGTTAACTATCTCCTACAACCAGGACAGTGTTAACTGGATTATAAAACATCTGGCCTTAGTAATTCTGCCAGGCATGCAGTTTCTTCACTGCAGACCTGCTGAGGCTGATGTTGAGGAAAACACAAACATGCATGATGACACATACTGACCTCAGGAGTGTTAGTCCACTGCTTTATCAGTGTCATCTAACACAGCAAGACCCTTCATTAGCTTTAGTTCCCTGGATATTTATTTCACAACATTTATATACAGCTTGATTGTAATAAAACCTCAAAGCGGTTTAAGATGCTGTTTCTTTCTTTCCCAAACTGATGGAGAGTGAAGGGCAGCCTTTGCATGTTGGGAGAGCAGTTTCACCCTGACTAGCCATGGAGCAGGACCCATTAAGGCCCTGCCAACATCAATCTGATCTCAACCACCTCCCAACTGCCTGCCTTTTTGCTATCAACCCACCCAGGGGGGGGCCCTATCAGCTTCCTCCTTCTTAGCTTCAGTTTTGCCATTGTAGAACTCAGCAGGAGGATGGGGACAAAATTGGAGTAAGTTGGCTCTGCCTATGGCTCCCTGTCTTCTGCCCCACCTGCCCCATTGGGCACCAGCCACCTCTGCTTATCAGGATACCCAGGTGAGCTTTGTTGTTGTCATAGTGGTGGTTTCTCTCTGTATAGCATCACTTGTCATGGACTTAATATTTTCTATGAATTTCTACCATTTTTTGTTCAAAAAAATAGAAGTACAAAGTGGAATTTGCAACCTTATGATTTACATTGTTTGGGGCTTTAATGCTGTTTTTATTGATCCCGGTTTCCTCTCAAATTTTAATTTTATAGTATTTATATCTGCCGGTACATATGGTGCAGTTTATTATAAAACCATTCTGAGGGTACCAGAAAGCAGAGTAAAATAAATGAAACATTGCCAGTTCTCCATTATAACTTCATGGAAACTAAAGAATCAGTAGAAGTGTGTGAATTGCAACAACCCTGTTTTTAAAAGAAAACAATGGCATGAGTGTTCATGGGAAATGTTGTCAACCAGCATTGTAGAAGCATGCAGGATGTGCAAAGTTAGGACGTACCAAACAAACAAATAAAGCTTATGTATTTCAAGCTTACAAGTTATATTTTAATATCACTATAGAAGCAAATAAAACTGACAGAAAGATTCTACCATTATTATTTCATAATAACACCAAACTGAATATTTACAGGAGCACATCAATGTCAGTTTCACAGCTAGCAAATTATAAATGCCCCATTGTAAGACAGCTATCAGCATTGAGTGACTGGTATATATTTTTATGACAGTGAAATGCTTGTACATATTTCCTGCATGAACTTATTTTCAGGCTGTTCTTTAGAGCATTATTTGAGAATTCACTGTCTGTTGCATTCCAATAACCGAGGCATCATTCATATATAAGTCTACAATCCTCAACATATGTTTAGTATTTGCAGCAGGAGGAAATCCCTCACTGGTGCAAAGCGGGAGCAGGGTGGTGGTGGTGCAGATCTTCCCCCAAAGCAAAAAAACAACTTCAGAAGAGGGGAATTTCCCTCTTGACCCCAGCAGGGAAGGAATGGCTTGAGTTTTCCCTTTGCAACAGATGCAATCCTGTTCATTAGCAGCCTTTCCGTCACATGGATTTTTGCACATTAAATTCAAAAAGACACATTTGTCATCTGTAGTCTGGCCCTCAGACTTTTGCCACCCCCACCCCTCCCTAAAGATTCCCAGAAGCTGGTTGGTTTGTTGCACTAGAGTGTTCTAGTGGGGCTCTTTTCCCCCCACTGCTGGAGAATTAGCATTAGTCAGCTTTTATGCACACTTGCTGTCCTGTTGCTGACAAAGCAGGGTTTACAGTGCCTGCCTGCTTTTCCACTTCCCCCTGGCAAGCTGCCACGCAAGCTGTTAAGAGATCTTGGACTGTTCTAGAAAGAGCTTGGCTGAATCTTGGCATTCATGTCACAATCCAAATTTATAGGCAGCCTAAGAGGCTGCTTTAGATGTGGTAATGGAGACATAGAGAGTGTGTGCAGTACTGCTATAGCTAAAGCAGGATTGGGAAGCAGGCTAAAGCAAGGAGAGACGCCAAAACTTGCTGCACTTGGCACTGGAACATCCTAATCTCTCTGATGATCAACTTTGCAAAATAAATATAGCAGTGATGGGGTAAGATATACCTTTTTGTGGCTGGGGGTAGAATACATTTACTTTCCTTCATAATGACAAATGCAAGCTCTAGACTCCCCTGGATCAGGATTGCTGATTAATTTACAAGAAGCAATCTGGTGTCAGGCATGGAGTAGGGGACCCTGAGATCCCCTAGGTTGTTGTTGGACACCAAGTCCCATCAGCTTCCATCCACCTGGCCAATAGTCATGGATGATGGGAATTGTAGTCCAGCAGCATTTGTAGGGCCACATGTTCCCTACCTGTATTCTAAGCAACATGTGGAATGCCTCCAAAAGGAGTGATGGGATGACAAAGCAACTTAACAACATTAATGTGAGTAAAGTGATATAAACAAGTGCAAGGAATCCCAGCTTTCAAAAGTGGCTGTGAGCAGAGCAACTTTCGGATCAGTGAGCTTGAGCACAGAGAGTGTGCTGTTGAAGTTGGTGTGGGGAGTCGGGGGACAAATTTCAGCTAGATATGAAATACAGCACACAGCTCTGGCCATCTTGGCTCAAAAGGAACATGTTACAGCTGGGAAATACACAGAAAAGAGCAATTGCCGTCTACAATTATCAAAGGTTGGTGGATCTTTTGTACAACGAAAGGCTAAAGAGCTGGGCTTTGTGAATTTATAAAATCATAAGTTGCAGTGAGAGATTGCATCCTCTTGCCAGAACTTGGGTTTATCCACTGAAGGCAGCTGATAGCAGGTTCAGGAAGATAAGAAATAATCATACGTTACACAAAGCAACTGAAACAATGAGATTCTCTAACTCAAGATGTGGCCACAAAATTAGCTAGCTTTGGGGAAACGGGCGAGTAGCTCCACTTAAAGGAGAAATGAACCTGAAGCAGGTTTGAGATGTATGAACTAACCAGTGCTCCCAACTTCTTGTTCTTGCAAAAGTAGATACATGACTCTACCATTTTACTGGCGAAATGGTGCTGTGTGATGTGTTGTGGGTGGGAGGGGTAGGCCTGACTCTAGTGCTACATTCCCAATCAAATCAGTGGTGATGCTTTGAAGCAGAACTTACTGTGGATTGTCTGCATCATATATTGTTTGGCTCTTAGGAAAAACCGTTTGATAAGAGAACTTTCAGTTAGTTATTGCTTCTATGAAGACATTTGCTGGGTTATTAATTAGCATTCACATATTCTCCTTTAGAATGTAATTGAGGTTGACCCTGTGTTGCTTGTTTAACTGGATGTCTCAATCCTTTTTAGTCATGAGAGATAAAGCACAGCTCCATGCTTTAAAAAAAGAAGCAGCAGACTGCCAATTATGAGCCAACTTTTCCCAACAATCACTTCACCACCATCCAGGATTCTAGGTGTGTTTGCTACGTGTCAAAAAGGCAGCTGAGGAGAAGGGTGAGAAGGCGCCGAGGACCAGCAACGGGCAGGGGGAGCAGCCCCCTCCCAGCCACTACTTAAAATTATAGGCGTCTTCCATGCTACTTCACAGCTGTGTTAGCTTAACAAATAAGTCTCACCTAATGCCTACCCCCATCCCTCATGTGAGAGCAGCAAATGAATGCTTCTGGTTCAGGAGGGATTCCATGAGAAAGTTCATAACATGTGGGCAAACTTCCCACATGAATCCAAAGCATCATGAAAGGCCTCAATGCACATTACTGCTATCCAATGTGTTTTGACTATACAGTGGTACCTCAGGTTACATACGCTTCAGGTTACAGACTCCACTAACCCAGAAAGAGTGCTTCAGGTTAAGAACTTTGCTTCAGGATGAGAACAGAAATCATGCTCCGGCGGCGCGGCAGCAGCAGCAGGAGGCCCCCATTAGCTAAAGTGGTGCTTCAGGTTAAGAACAGTTTCAGGTTAAGAACGGACCTCCGGAATGAATTAAGTACTTAACCCGAGGTACCACTGTACACAATTTTGGCTTTCAGCATAAACCCTGGAACATAACCCCTGCACAGGTTTTGGGCTTACTATATAGTAAAACTGGCATTATGGCTTTAGCAGGATTAAAGAAGTGGCTACCAAGTGCTACACATACCAAGGACAAGTTCCCATTTTGTAAATGATTGCTTGCCTCCACCTTTTTCATAAGACTTCTATTAAACTAATTGAACAAAGAAAAGGACTTTATTAGGTGTATGTGTTTAACTGATTAACCTGAAACATTGACATTTCGTATTAAGCAGACAATCGACTAACAGAACAAGGGGGCAAGAGAATGTGCATGCGTGTTGTTAAAGCGTACAATGTGTAGGAAGGGTTTCCCCCATGGCTTTCTGTTAAATGTGCAAAGGATGACAAGTGTCAGTACTTCATACAACTAGATTTAATAAGTTATTACAGGAAAAAAAATTGTCGAAACTACAAAGTTGAAGCAGTTGTAAGCAATAGCAGCATTGAGCTCCATGTTTAGTCACAGTACTGCAGTTCCATACAAAGCATTAGTCCAAGCCAAAAAAAGGTAAAAGCCTTTTAGGGTTACTAGCAAAACCAGTCTAAGAGAACATGTAGTAAAAGATATGGTACATTTAAAATTAGTTAGTTGAAAAAACAAGTACAGAGATTTTTAGCTGTGAACACTCTAAAAGTTATGTCCATTATTTTGACAGCAAAATTACAAATACCTAATACTTTATACCCAAACAGAGCTACATCCAGAAAAAAATAAATAGCAGAAATGATTATCCCGTATTAGCACCCTGGATTTCTATTTGTTGCTAAAGGTTATTATTAGGTAAATTTAAAATGTGCAGAATGACATAACAAGCTCCTGATCTGCTACCCTTTCGGGGTATAGAGCAAACCATCAGCATGAATATAAAATACTCTGTGGTAAGACAGAAACACTACAACAGCAGAGATTGAGAAGAAAAGTTTTCTGGTTAAAAAAAAGGTTAAGCTGACATTATACAAACTGGTGTAAAAAGCAACTACATACAAGCCAGGTTTAACAAAAGACTTTTTTATTATTTGTTTTACAAATCTGTGACTAATCTTTCACTCATATCTTGCAAATAGAGATGTCACAATACTGAAATATTAACATGGGGGATTTCCCCCAGTAAAGCACTATACTTTTTGTACTACTCTAACAAAGATCATGAAATCAGCAAAGTTTATTTGCTAACTGCATTTTTGTAATACAATTGTCTTTTAGCCCCTGCCTTCCTAAAAGGCAAGTGTGTAGGCAGAATCTAAGAACACACTTTGTACCACTTTGCAGGAAATTTAGAAATTTCTCCTCCACTTCTATTTTACTTGCACAATTTGTGTACATCCCAACCAGTAGTAGTACTGTACCTAATTATAGAGTCTAAATTTTACTATTTTATTTTTTCCCCTATACATTTCTTACAAAAAGGACACAATGGGCCAACTCTAGACATTTCTACAAGAGATCAATAAATTACCCCCCTTAGGTAGAAGCCAGCATGAGAATAGATCAAATCTGGCAACTGATCTATCTAGGGATGGCCATTGGATGTTCTGTTTATATAACACCAGTTTGGTTTGCAGGATCAGAAGGGGTGGATAATAGTACCTCTAGCATCGGCACAAAAAAATCTGCCAGGATAACAGCAAAAAGGTAAGGATTAGATAGGCAAAGGGTGGTGGTGATGAACTACATAAAGTGAAGCAGTGTTTTGATAGCAGCAACAGACGTTGCACTTGTGATATTTTTTTTTAAGGGCCAACACAAAGGGATAAATATACAAGAAGCTCAAAAAAGTGCTCAGATATATAGTAATAACGGTTGCTAGACATGCATTACTTAGCACTAACTATGTCATAAATTACACTGTATGGTAATTGCACTGTAACATTATGCAGATACTATACAACTTCCTCCATTTGTTCTGGGTTGCCACTTAAAGAAGTGCATGAATAATGCAGCATGAGGGGCGAGTGGAATAAATAAGATAAGGGCAGATCACACTGAAGCATGTTGGGAGAGATTTAAAATAACAGTCCAAAAGAGACCATAAAGAGTATTGGAGGGGGCGGGGGGGCGGGCAGGGAATTGACCGAGCATTAATGCTGTGTAGTCTCCATTTGTTTTTTCGGCACTTGCAGGAATGCTGACTGGGCCTATGCTAATGGGGGGGGGGGTAAATTTGCATTACACTAAACAGCCATGGCTGTAAGCCTGTTATTTTTGTAGACTGGAGTTAATTACAACAGCAATAGTGTTTTATCAGCATTGGTTGTATAAATCTAGACAGCGAACTGGTACTGTGACATCCCTAATATCTTCCTAAATCATTCTGACAAAGGAAAAAAAGGCTTCTCAAAAATATCACATCATTTTCCTGCTTCATTCTGTAATTTTATTGCCCAATTATTCATTACAGTTTTTCAATCATTTTACATATCCAACCATTTTCACACCATTGTAAACCACAACAGCGAGTTAATACATAAAGCTTTGCATTTCAAAAAACTAGACACTTTTAGTAACAATATTACAAAGGTTTTTTCTTAGCTTCAAAAATAACTGAAAATGAAAAAAATAAACTTTTAAAGAATTAGCATCATAAAATTAATTTATTCCAAGTAAAAATACAAAATAATATTAATGACATTGACCAGATATGAAAGTCTCTCCCAGAAACAACTATATTAATGGTTGAGAAAGCACTCCTTAAAGAAAATCTGAAATAAAAATGAAAAATATGTCAATGTTTAAATTTCTCTTAGCAAAAAATCTTTCTAAAAATAACAATGAAAATTTGTCTCAGTACAAAGGCTACATTACTATTGAAAAAATACCAGCATGAAGAAAAGGTACATATTTGACAGTAGAAAAATGATCTTAGTGAATCACAATGTCTAAAGTTTGCAATGAAAATAAATCTGCAATAAAGATTTATGCCTTTTTTCTTTTCTTTTTTCTTTTTTTTATACAAACAGTACAAACAGTATTGCACATAACAACAAATAGTCGAGGTTAAGTTGCCTTCAAAAAAAATCGACTAGTTCAAGTCTCACATCAAGAGAAGGCCACAAGAGGACCTGTTGTACCCAGGGACTTCTTAGTCAAGTTGCAGTTCAGAACACCTTATTTTAAAAAATAACTTCTTTTCTTGAAGGACCCTCTCATAATAATATAACATATTAACAACTTAGGGGGCACATTCATTTACAAAACAAAAAGGGACCATGTTATAATTTAATAAACTAAAAAAGTATCTTTAAAAAAATACAAACAGAAGAACTCTCACAATTCTGGTCAGTCGTGCATAATTGCTTGATTATAAATATACAAATTAAGGGAAAAATATTTTTTCACCTTCTATTCACAACTTCCAGCACCAAATGCAGGTTTTTTTACACCTTTCGTTGCTGTGTTTTTGTTTTCATGTTATTACTTATATAACTTCCAGCATCTCTTTTTCTCGCTCTTTCCCTCCTTTCTTTCCGGGGTGTTTGTACAATGGGAGAGGGATATTTCTTCAAAACTGTGTATTATTGTTTCACATAATTAGGTAGACTTCTGTAGATTAGCTATGATCTTCAATATTACAGTTATAAAGCTCTAACTTCTTCATTTTCAAAAACGCAAATAAGCATGAAAAAAATAAAGTTACCCATCTGTTAAATCATTTCCTCGCAGAATTAAATTAATATATATTTTTTTCTGAATAAACTTACTTAGAAAATATTTTCTTTCCTATATTTCAAAATTGAGGTATTGCAAAAGATCATGTCAGTCAGAAAGCATGCCTTTTTCTTTTAAAAAAGAATAATCTGCCAACTATTGAAAACTGTCTAGATACAAAAAGTAGTGCATAACAAATCTTGTATAGATGAAAAAAAAAGAAAACCCCAAACAGAAGAAAAAAGACAGCTGGGCTGGATAAAGCAATATCACAAAAATGCCCAGAAGAAAATGTGAAGGGATACTACGAATGGTTTTGTTTTGTTTTTAAACCAGTAAAAACTATTTTTCTAAACACAAAGTTTCTTTCAGAGCCAGTAATTGCAACTAAACATTGAAAGAAAAACGTACAAAGTTAGACATTAACAAGGCCATCACAACACACAAAATCCGTAACATTTAAATCTACTATGCGGTGCCAGATCCAGTCAGATTGTCCCCAGAACTCCCAGGGGGTGGGGTGGAGAAGGGAACTCACAAAAAATGCAGAAGAATAGTGTACACGTCCTCACTTTCTTATAGTTCGCACACTAATGTGTGCTTATGTGTTTGTCTTGCACGCCCAGAATACATGCTAAAAAAATGTCCACTGTTATAAAGTAGATCTCAAATATATTCAAGCTTCACAGGATACATCCAGGGTTCAAGAAAGTAAATGTCACACCCAGAGAGTAGACATCTTGCAAGTTAACTTTTGTATGCAGACATTTCTTTAGCACCACTTCCCCCCACCTTTCATAAAATGTGCCTAGGTTATCAGCCTATTAGTGAAGTTAGTAGTGTACATACGCTGCCATGAGCTCTTTGGTTTTCTGGACAAGGGCTGCAGCTACATAAATGGTGCAAGCATTTATGAGATTGGAATTAAAGAGCTCATAATTCATTTTGTGAGTGTGCATATGTATCCGTATCTTTCAGAAGTGATTGAACGTTAGATATAGAGGCTTAAACAGTTAAGTTTGATCACAGTACTAGACATAATCACTTTTACTATATAAAATAAATTGCACAATATATAACAGAGCACCGCAAAGTACTTCGTCTATCATTCAGAAATTTGTTTTAAGGATATTCTACATCTAGTTTTTTTAAAAAATATTTGTTGTAATATAGGTCATACTGCAAAGGGCTGATCCTAATTTCAGAAGCATTTACATTTACTGAGGCATGCCTTCCTCCAGTCAGTAATTTGTGTCTGGTGTGCTAAGTCTGTGTGTGGGTTTTGTTTTGTTTTTAATAACAAGTACTTTGTAGTCTATATAAATCCTTAATTGGTGCATTGTGGGCAGATTTTCATATGAGACATATATAAAAAAAATTTATTGCATGCAGCAACCTGATTTAAGTAAACATGCAGTCAAAACTATTGACCTTCCTTGGAAGCTATACAGATCTCCTTTCAGCAGCCATCACGGTTTTAAATCATATAATCATCTTTTAAACTGATAGATACCCTAGCTTGAATAGAGTATTGTGGTATTAGTAATACCATCTTAATAGCAGCAAAAGCTATTGCAGCATACATTTACATAACACTAAAAGACCTAACCAAATAGGAAACCCTCAGCAAAACGAAAAGGGGGGTGGGGTGGAGAAAATGTGATCCAGCTTATGAGGTATCAACCTTACCAGTAAAAATGGAGAGCAACTAAAGGCTTTTCAGGGTTATTCCTATTCTAAATGACCCAAACTAATGATTGCTGAATATCCATTTTAAGTTTTTGCTACATCTGCCACCTACCTACTTGTGAGTGTTACCTTTGGTAAGTCATCTGCTAGGGGCAAGTCTATAAGTTTCTGAAAATAAGTGCATGCTCCAGTTTTAAAATAAAATTATAATTTTAAAAGTCTTTCTCACATACACACCAACTCAGTAAAGGCTGATGAGAATGGCAGTCTACTTATTGTCAGACATGACAAGTCTCGTGTAAGAAATTAAGGTACCAAGCAGATGTTTGTGTGAATCAAAGTGCAAAATCAGTATAGTTACACTCTGCTAGGCTTGTATTATACTGGACACAGAGTTCAGTAATGTGACTGTAAATAATCATAATCATCATCATAATAATAGTAATCGTAATAAAAAGACCCATCTCTTCATTAAAGTAAAGGATGAATGCACAGATTTCCAGAACACTAAAGCCCTGAGGCAGCACTCTCTTCTCCCTTCAGTTTCTTCAGTTCCAGTACTTCTTTGCTGCTGGATTTAGGCCCAGACTTCAGCTCCAACGGAACGGAACGTGGCGTGGCCGATCCCCCCCTTCCTTCACGAGTGGTTTGTGGAACTCTCGCCCAGCACGAGAGTGAATGCTGGCCCAACAGTATTCGCAGTAATACTGCAAGCAGGTAACATTGGCACAGAAAAATGGAGCAAATTTTCCGCCACAGCGAGTGCCCTGGCATTCATCACACATCTGATCATCAAGCACATATGGCTTCACTTCCACCTACAGAAGGGGAGGAGAAACACAAAACAACTCAAAATAGAAAGAAGGCTCTGTGAATTCATCTCATTCATCTGAACGCAGGACAAACCTGTATAGTGTATAAATTTGCCAGAATAGCCAGTAACAACACACTCTACTTAGCTTTTCAGTATCAGAGACAATGTGGTGCTTCTGGCTGCTACAGTTTGTCACATCACAGAAGTGCATGGGTTTAGAAAGTGATCTGTCAGAGCTCCCACCATTGTACATTACCATCATGGGTGTCCACAGGAGTCTTTCTGGGGTGGGGCAAAGTAAACTTAAAGATGGGAATCAGGACTAGAGGGGGGACAACTGCCACCTCCACATGGACACCCATATTGCAAGACAAGCCTCAGGCAAGAGCAGCAAGAATGTGTCCTCGTTTCCTTACTATTAAATTAAGCTTCCAGGATAATAGTATCAAAATTCTCAGTTCCAATTTTAGATAGAGCAAGTATACCCAGAAACCTTACAAAAACTAACCCTCGTTATTTCCTGGCCAAAGCTCTCCCACAGCGTTTGGAGAACTGCACCGAACATGAGAGAAGTTGGGGGGGGGGAGAGACTGTGGGAGGAGGAAGGAAATAGAAGTCACTGACAATGTCAGTCATCAACGACCTAAGGAATCTGCTATGCTTCAAAGCATTTGCTGGAACTTCCATTTGCATCATTACGTAACCCGTGAATGAGCCTTCATATATCAGCATAAAAGTCTAATGTTTTCAAAATCTGCTCTTTTAAATCCTTTTGACGTATTAATAGCACCCCACTCCTATTACAATAGCAAATGTTTAGGATCTCCTTTATATTAAGATCAAGTTTAAAGTACTAGACACTGCCACTGACCTAACCATAGAGCTTCAAGCCCAATAAAACAACCACATTAAAACATTAACTTGTCATGATCACTGGAAAAAGTGATCAGAATAGAAAAGGCCTTGTCTTTCTTGTCCTGTCCCATTTTTCTTTTCATAACATTAGATGCTATTGCCAAAATAAGTCTTTAATGATTCAGTGTCAAGGTAATTATATTCTGAGCTCAGCATTTGAGACAAAGTGACAGCATGACTCAGGATTAACACTGATGGTTCCAGTCATGCAAGAATTAATGGCTTTATAGATTAAGCCCTATCAGATTTATCACACTTAAAAATTATAAATCTGTAAGGATATGAGTCAGCCAAAGTTAAGTATACTTATATCTTTCTGGTTTCAATGGAACATGCTTACATACTTCTCATTAAAATCTATGTGGGGGTTTTTTTCCTAAGTAAAGTCTAGAGAGTTTGCTCTCTCCTGGGTGGGGTGGCAGTGCCATTTGGATATTCAATGAGAGCTTTAAAAATATATAATCTTTGGATTTTTTTCACATACCCTATTTTATTTCATTAAAAATACATTTCTATGTAAATAAGGTCAAGCCTGTACAAAAATACTGTATTTTTCGCCCCATAGGACGCACTTTTCCCCCTCCAAAAATGAAGGGGAAACGTGTGTGCGTCCTATGGGGTGAATGCAGGCTTTCGCTGAAATCTGGAGAGCGAAAGGCATCGGTGCGCACCGACCCCTCACGCTCTCCAGGCTTCAGGAAGCTATCCGCAAGCCTTGCAAGCCTGGCGGGAGTTCCCGGGCACGCGAGGCTTGGGGCGGCAGCCTGCAGCCCGAAGCACGGGGAGCCCTCCGGAGGGCTCCCCGTGCTTCGGGCGGGTGTCCGCAAGGCTTGGGGCGGCAGCCGCGGCTGGGGGGGGAATAATTTTTTTTTATTCATTCACCCCCAAAAAATTTTAGTCGGAAGAGACGGTGGTGGATAAGATGGGCAAATGATTTGAGCCCACTTAAGATGCCTGCATAATTTGTCAGCCGTGTCAATCAGTCATATGGCATTTTGCTTACCCGTTTATCAATGTCATTGTGTTGGAGCTGGACAAAGCGAGCACTTATAGCAGCAATATAGCTCTGCTGATTGGAGAAAGCCACTCTACCAGCACCTTTTGGGTATTTCAGCTCTGGGTCCGTATCAATGCCAGCATAGCAGACTCCTCCATACAAACGATCCATAATCATTGCTAGTTCAACTGTAAAAGAATATTAAACTATAAAAAGACCTATTCATTCAACTTCCAGTAGCTAATTTGTGACTTGTTGTTGTTTAGTTGTGTCCGACTCTTGGTGACCCCATGGACCAGAGCACGCCAGGCACTCCTGTCTTCCACTGCCTCCCACAAATTTGTGACTAGTCTACATATATAAAAAACCAAAATTCTTGATAGTTATAGCCCCAAGTAATCTAAAACAGGAAATGGAAATGATTGACTGTGTAAAAGACAAAAATCCTAAAAAAGCAAACAAAGTCAAAAGCAACAGAAAACAAACTTTATAAACCAAGACAAACGGAATACCAGAAATGTAAACAAGTTCCTATCAGTTACCTATCTATGACAGTCAACTGATTACGCTTTTAAAATGAATTGTTTTATATTTCACTGTTTAAAATGCAGAGCAGTCAGTATCTCAATGCAAGTGGTTTTTCAAGACTGAAATAATACTGTATAGTATGTAGTTTGTTCCTTAATCTTGCTGCTTAAGGGGAAAAAACCACACTGAAGTCCTTGCCAATTTGAAATATAATGAAAAGCTCTACAGACTATTACTGCATCATTCTTTGAACGTTTTGTTGGTCATGGTTTTGGTAACCATTAAACATATTCACTCACCAGCTCTGAGGGGTCGTGGGACTCCTCCAACAAAAATAGTTTTTCTGGGATCTAAAGGTTGAGAGCCATCCATTACAAAGTCACTGTCACTTAAGTTCCAAGGTCGAATTTGCACCTGAAAAAGCCAAAAGATTAGCTTCATTTTAAACTTCTATTTTGAAAGCAACAAAAGTCAAGGAACAACTTTTTATCCTTTCCCATTTCTAATAGCAGTATAACCAAAGTTAATTCCAAATAAATACAAACCAATGAAGATGGGATGTTCTAGAATTTATCAGAAGAGATATGCTGAACTGAAGCACCATCATAAATGCATCAACTTATGCAGCTATGCAAAAAGAATGCAGGCAGCAGGCTTGCCCCTAACCAATGCTGTATCTCCTTGGTGCTCACTACCAGCTTTGTCTACCAAACTGGCCAATTAATTTTGCAGGTACAAAGTAAGCTAGAAAACCTCCATTAGGATTCCCAAATACATCATCCAGATTACAAGTATGTTCAGATATTCCCAAACACTGGTTGTCTTACATGTGACAGCTAAACTGACCAAAAATAAGATAAAAAGCATGGTATCCAGTCAACTCTTGGGTTCTATCCAGGCATAGCAAATCATGCTACCGGTAATTTGACTTGCCAGCAAAAAGCATTGTGTAAATTTTAAATCAGGGTGTTCATCACTGAATGGAACATTGTTAGGGATTAGTAAACTGGTGAGCAGCACATACAGAGCTTCTTGCAGAAATAAAATATAAGAACAAGATATGTACATGTTATTTTAATAATGTTGCCTAAGAAAGTATTTGCTTCATACATAAAAATCTAGTCTGCTCACTCATATCTCTTATAAACTTAATAAAAGGAAATCATTTCATGCAAAAAGTCTCAGTTGTATTTCTTCCATAATGAGTATAAATTCAGTTAAATGCAACATATACAGTCTCTGAATTTAATATTAATTATGGTAATTTACTATTTTATTTACTGCCTCTAGAAATAAGGTTGAGCAATATTTTTTCACATAAATCTACAGCATTTCCTCCTATTTGCTTCTTTTAATACACAATTACACAGTAGAATGCAGGCCAAGATTCATTTAATAAGCATTTCATACATTCTGAAAACTGAAGAAAAGGTGGTTGGTAGAGAACTTAATTCCTTTGCTTAGGCTAAGAGGATTGCCCAAACCGAAAGCATTTACTCTGTCCATTTAAGAAGCCAGATGGCTGAATTTGGGACAAAGTCTTTGAATTGTTTCGAACCAAGCAATCAACAAAAAAGTCATTTTCATAAGCCTTACAAAGCCATGTGAACTTGGAGAAGGTGTCTATAATATCTGAATTTGTCACATCTATGCATTTTTTATAGAGTCAGAATTTTAAAATATTCTAATACCTGTTTGGTTTGTTTTAAAATTCTCTGCTGAGAGCACCCTCATCACCACACCTTCATTCATGCCAAAGCCAAATTCCCCTGAAGACCTACTCATACAATCCTTACCCCATTTTAAAAGGAGGGAAATAGGGCAAGTTAGTTTCTTCTCAGAATCAAACATTGATCCCTAGTTCGTATTTTACTTCTCCCATTTAGCCACAGTGATGGGGCTGCTCCACATCAGTTTGTGAATAGCGGCAAATACACCTGAGAGAATTTTGGAATAATTCCCAATTTGCATACTAGGTAATTAACATCAATCTGGTTCAGGCACAGTTTTGCATTATACAAATGAGACTCAGGCTTATGTACACCTTTCACTTCTTTTTTCAAGTAACCGGGGTTCATCATTAGGTCCAAACCTGAAACTGAACTATAATTTTGCGAAACAAATCAAGATCATAAGTAGTTTTATTTGAACTATGGTTTAGGCAAACAAGACAAGTCAGTTTGTCCAGGTTCAGATACAAATAACCATGGCTTTTTAAAAATGGAAGCAAAAGTCTCACTGTGGTCATACTTATGGGGGGGGGTGGCAGGAGCACACACAAACCAAAAGCCTGTTCACTAATGTTAGACTATATATTAAGACTGAATGAGGCTATTAAGAAGAAAAGTCAGCTCATGTGTTTTACCTATACACTGCCTTACACCATGACATATCATTCACTTGTGATATTTTACTTCAATGCAGTACTGCTAGATTGCCTTCAGCTATACAGAATTCAGTACTGTTATGTCTGCAGCAATGGAACTTAAGCAAAATAAGGTTAATCGTTATTTGCAAGCTGAAACATCCCATACACAAACTGACTCACAACTCAGTCGAAAGAGCCATATACTCTTGCACATAATTTTACATTGCAGTATCTACATTTCAAATGAAAGGAGCTAAGCAGCACATGGAAAGGGATGCACATAAAGAGTACATTAAGACGCGTGATAAAGCTGCTTTGTGTGCTCACTAGAGCTCTCGTACATGGATCAGTTTGTTGGACCAGGGCATTAATCTATTATACAATCTCAAAGGAAAAGACTTTTGAATGCTAAATTGTTCTGACATTTACTGAAGTTTAACATGGTCAATATATGCTAAAGCAATATGCCAGTATAACAGTCAAAATAACAGAACAGAGACAGCCATTTTTGCACAACAGTAGTTGACTTTCAGCTATATATATATATATACACATTTTAAAAAGGTAGTATGTTGATTTACTTACTGGTTTGTCCTTGATAGTGGGACTTGATACACATAGATAAAGTTTCCCATCCTCTTCCAGACAGGCATCTATTAGAGCTTGCACAGAGCTTTCTTCCTGGAATAGCAGAAAGGCATAACCTTGGAAGAGAACAAAATTACAAAACAGGAATAGAGTCAGAAAATACAAATTATTGTGGGAAAGCAATACATTTAAATACACAAATATTAAAATTAAAACATGGCATGGATTCTGTATGACAGATGTGCCGTGGTCACAGTTGATTCAAGGCACAATGTTGTTGTAGAAACAAGGCATATACCAATACTCCAGACCCGAACAGGGTCAATTGTTTTGTTTACACCTGACTTCCTAAGGCATTATTTGCATGAAGGCTTAGGATGGGGTTTAATGATTGCTGTACTTGCATAAATTCACAAGCAGAAATGTTATGTTGGGGCATAAGTAAAGTGGGCCTGATAACTGTAGAAAGAAATTTTGTGTGTGTGTGTGTGTGTGTGCGCGCGCGCACACACACACACACACACACACACACACACACACAGCAGATGCCCCTGCTCATTTTACTGGCCATAACCCTTCCACCACCCCTCTTGCTCAACTGCCACAGGCCCCACGCACTCGCCCATGCTACTGCACCTCTCCTCCCGCTCAACCCACTCGCTGCTGCACAACCAGCTTACTTGCCCACTCTGCCCTCCACTCGTTTACTCTCCTCACCATCTGCGAGTCTCCAAGGCTTCCCTCACCCTGGAGAATGTACAGGTTGTCACCAGCATCACAATGGACTAGCATAAATACAGTATAGATGTAGAGTGTGTGCGCGCAGGGTGTTGAACTATTGTGTCTCACCACTTTACCTCCTCTGCAACAGCATAAAAGTCAGTAGCAAGAAGGGCTGGCTTGGTGTTAAGCTAACTCTTAAGTTGTGTGCGCCAAAGCACTGGTATATGCAGCTGAATCAGCATTTTAGCACCCATACCCCCTGCAGTAAGTATTAAGAGTGACAGAAGACAGCAAGACTCTTGCTGGTTTTCCTCCAATTGTATCTCACCATTAGATATGATCCTATGCAAACGATGAAATAGAACAGTTCATACCACTTCATAGGATCAGGCTAAAAGACCACTCTCCATATATAAACAATAATTCTATGCTAAGCGAACATCTGAAAAGCCCTTCTTTTAAGTGTACCTATGAGATATCTTGGATCCATAGCTAAATATTAATATTTGAATTGACTCAAACAGATAAAGATACATAAAAAATAAGGTGTTTTTCTACTGGGAAACGGTAGATTGAATTTGCATATTCAGGAAATCTTTCTAAACTGTTAACAGCATATCAGCAATAGAACATATCGCTTATAGATATAAAATTTGGTCTGTGCACAGGCACTGTTCAGAAATGTTTTACATAGAATTTCCTATTCAAGACAGCTACTGCATTTGATCAGAATGGGGAAGAACACATTTAAACTCAATGACCATAGCTATTCAGCAAAAATACATTTAAATTGCAGACATTTGACACTTTGCAAAGTGTGTTAAAACTGTTTTTCAAGCTTTATGATGTCACTGCAGTGGGTTGCTCCCAATTCCACTACTGTAAAATGATATTTATTGAGATGACATATAGGCCCCTCTTTATGAAAAACATGAGAAAAACATTTAGTATTTTATCCAAGCCATACCCAAAGTAAACCCACGGAAATCAGTGCATCTAACTTAGTCCACATTTTTCAACTGGTCTACTCCGAATATAACTTACTTGAATACAGCCCTTAAGAAATGTAGGCAACTTTTTTTTTTAATTAGTTACAATTAGCATAAATGTTCATTGCTCTAGAGTCAGGCATATTTTTTAACTTTATAATTGTATGCTTTGAACACTAATAAAATTGTACTTCAAAATCCGAGGATGAAATGAAAAGTCAAAGAAGCTGATTTAAGAATACGAACTCAGAGGTACTTAAAAAAAATCTGCAGAGTTTCATTTAAAGCGTTGCTGTGCTGTGACTTGCTTTCCAAAAACATCAAAGGCATTAGCGCTAAAGAAATTGCAAAATAGAAGAGTCTAATCTTACTTTAGCTACTGCAGAAGAGTGATATTGCATATTAGGCTATGAAGCTAGTTTCTTTAGGCAGTGGCAATGTACTGCAGTGCCAGCTGACTCATTCAACCAAGGAAATGGTGCATAAACATTTCAGATGAGGTAAAAAAAATAGTTTTACAGCTTGATTCCTATGTAGTGCCCTCCTGTCACAAAGCCACAGGAAAATTGCCACATAAAAGACATTATTCCTTATTGCTATTGGGCTTCTTCGTATTAAAGCTTTAAACTAATTTATGCAGCAGCAGCATCTCTGCATCACAAATACAGAAGCACACTGTAAAGAATGAAAGTTAATCTATAAAAGGACGAATCAACACGGAGAGAGCATAATTATTGCTAGGGATAAAGAAAATCTATTTTGCCTTAACACTCCATTGAAAACATGCAAGAAATTTGTGTCAACTGATCCATTTTCAATGAGCTTTGAAGAGCTGCCCCCAACACAACCGGGGTCAGGGTAAAAGAGTTTCCTGTCCAGGACTGGCAGGACTCTGACAAGTGTGCACTGGGTGAAGGGGGGCTGGAGTCTGACTCAGGAGAGGCGGTCAATGACATGTGCGGTACTGCACAGGCCAGGAGGCAAGAGTTGAAAGCAGGGGACTTTTCAGAGCTGGAGGGTGGAGCACAGGATGTGTTGGAAGAAGAGGAAGAAAAGGCAGGTCAGATAAGTGAAGGACTAGGTGCTTCCCCACCCTCTCCTGCACCACTGTCTCTCAGGAGGGGACTGAAAAGGGATTAGGAGAGGAAACCTCCACACTGCTGTAGCCTCTGTCATGCAGCCCATCAGGGAAGGTAGATAAACTGGTAGAGGGGGAATGGTCTGCTGTTGTGGCAGCTGCTCCATAGAGTGTGTAGGTATCCAGAGCTGTAGAAGCTGTAGAACAGGGGATTAACCTCTGATGCTCAGAAAAAGCCATTTATTACACCAGGAGACTGAGAAGTTGTCAGCTCCTGGGAACTCGGATGGCCAGATCGAACCCAACATTGAGGGACCTACCAATCGGGTGTTGTGGCTGACCAGTCTTACCCACCCACAACACAGGTGGTCGGTCTCCAGGTCTCACCGCAACATGTGCCCTCTTTTAGGGAGGATATAATTTATAGTAAGGTTTTGCAACTCTAAATTAATTGTTTAGTGGTCATGGTTTGCATCATTATTAGGGGAAAAATATGAAGTTTCAATACAAAACTTCTTTTAAGTCAGTGCTTTAAATTAGCCATTTTTCTTGTTGATTTAAATCATTAATTTGAGTTGCCTTGATTTAAATCCAGTGCTTTTTTCTGGGGGGATGCAGGGGTACGCATAACCCTAAACATTTTGTGAATTTAAGTTCGGCCTCATTGAGGGGCAGTATTTCAATATGAGTAGGAAAATGAGAGCACCCCTAAACATTTTTAAAGAAAAAAACCCTGTTTAAATCAGTGCACCCAGCATTACAAACAACTGTTATGGTTTGGTTATTCTTGGCAGGCCACTACATCTTTTTACGTAGAAATATCAATACACACATATTCATATTACTGTTTTGATTACATTTTTCTCCTTAGCTTTATAAGGCAGCTCTTCTTTCAAAAAAATCAACTTTAAAGCATCAGACTAAACTGCTAGTACAGGCCATAACAATTTGCAACAAAATGTAGACTAGGTAAAGGTAAAGGGACCCCTGACCATTAGGTCCAGTCGTGACCGACTCTGGGGTTGCGGCGCTCATCTCACTTTATTGGCCAAGGGAGCCGGCGGTTGTCCGCAGACAGCTTCCGGGTCATGTGGCCAGCATGACTAAGCCGCTTCTGGCGAACCAGAGCAGCGCACGGAAACGCCGTTTACCTTCCCGCCGGAGCGGTACTTTGACGTGCTTTCGAACTGCTAGGTTGGCAGGAGCTGGGACCGAGCAACGGGAGCTCACCCCATCGCGGGGATTCGAACCACCGACCTTCTGATCAGCAAGTCCTAGGCTCTGTGGTTTAACCCACAGCGCCACCCACGTCCCTTAAAAATGTAGACTAGGGACATACTGAAAAGTTCAGGTGCTATATTCAATTTTAAAATGGTATTTGTCAAAGTCAAATGAATGAGAAAACAACAACAAAGATTTCAATGAGGCAAGGATGAACTGTGTTACAATTAAGATAGTATGTAGTCTTTCATAGATAAGACAAAAAACAAACCTAAAGTACTATTTAGATTTGGCACTTGGTAGCAATAGGTGGAATAACTTCCAGGTAAGAAAATTACATTTCTGTTTCTGTGAATGAAACACAATCAACCACTTCAGAAACCAGTTTAGCATTAACATAGGAAAATGAAGTTTTAGTTTTGTATTCTAAAAGTGTAAAGAGATGACAGATAGAGCTATCATCCCACATATTATGCATGCACACATACACACACATTTATATACATGAACATTCAGGATGAAGTTGAGGGGACAAATACAATCATCTACTTCATACGTAACTGAATTTGAGTTGTGTGGTTTTAAAGATCATATAATATGCAAATTGAAGGATACAGGCTTCTTCAAAACTCATTTTACCAATTCTGCATTTTTTTAAACAAAAAATTAAAACTCTGAAGCTTTTTGTCATCCAATCTATTTATGTTTTTTATTTAGACAGTGCCACTTGCATACCTGGCACATGAAGTAGGGAGAAAGGCGACAGCAGTAAAGAGGATTATGTTTCACAGCTTGTGCATTTGAAGAGTTCAGCTGCAGGTTAGCCAGTGGGGAAACCCTGCAGCAATCACATTTATTTTGCCTATGCCCCTTAAGATAACATTAGGAAAGAGCTTTGGTTATCCTATTCCATGACTCTGCTTTCTTACCTAGACTAACTGATCAATCCAAATCTTTGCTAAAACATACCTGACCAAGCTCTTATTTTATCATGCACTTATGCAAGTTACTTTTATTGGCTGGTACCATTTTTGATGTGGGACGCGGGTGGCGCTGTGGGTAAAAGCCTCAGCGCCTAGGGCTTGCCGATCGAAAGGTCGGCGGT